TTTCCAAAGCATTTCCATTAGGCGAATGGCCCCCACGGTAGGCAACGGTGCGATTGATATTTTAGTATCGCAAGCATCTAGGAGCTCGATGACGCAGGTGGTTAGTGCGTTCGGCTGCGATCGTTGTGGTTAAGCAACTTTCGCAGTGGTCGGTCATTGGATGGGTGACCAAAAATTTCTATCTCGAGTTCCTCCCTGCTTCGGAAGGCACGTTAAGCCGTTGGTCCCGGTTGCATCTGCAATCGTTAGAACCCGCCAATCCGCACTGGGCCCGCGTGGTGGGTCATGGCCCAATCTCCCTATTCCATCCATAGGGAAGGCCTGTGCCCCAGCAGTGCGGACATAAAGAGGCTGATGAAGATAATGAAGCATCTATAGGCTATGGTGGCCGCTTTCGTTTGTATGTCACCCTTTAAACATAAAAAAATAGCGATTGTGTATTGTCGCGGATAGCCAAAACGCTAGTTCGAATCGAAGAGCTTTTTTGATCGGTACAAATTCGATCGTTTTTACAAACTTCATGGGGCTTTTCCTTGGAGAGTTATTGTCATTGGATGGCTAGTCAAAAAATAATCGACTATACATTCTACGTTCTTATGAAGGCAAGCCGTTGGAGCCGACTGCATCTATTGCGATCCACAATGGGCCCGGTCCTCTTTGTATATGGTTCGGGCCAAAAATACTACATACTTTGTCGTATTCGTAAGTGGAATTCTTTGCCCACTCACGTGTTTTCGCATTCTTTCCCTCCTTCCTACAATCTGGGGTCTTTTAAGTGAGGCGTGAAAAAGCATTTTTTCAGGCCGGCAAGTTGAGGATGGTTGGTGTGGCAATTTATAACTGCTGTACCAGCTATCTTCGCGTTTGGACTTTATCACCACTTAACATCAAGTGGGTTACAGTCATTTGCCTAACTATCAATATTGGTTTCTGTATATTTATGGTAATTTTGTAAATAATTATAAACTGTCAAAAAGTATTTCGTATCATCTCTGTTGATTGTTGGTTTTGTTTGTTGGTTTCGGCCATTTTGGTTATTAGGTAGGTTGTATATTATTTGAACTCGATAATAAGGTTTTTCATAAAATAAGTTTGTGTCTATTTTGGTAGTTAGCTGCCTTTTTATTTCTTTGTATATATAAAATACATTAAAAAAAAACTGATACTAAGCAATATATAAAGAAGAATATCTGAAATTCATCAAACAAAAAAAAATATTTATTAAAATGAATTTTCTAATTCTAATAAATGTTCGGCTAAAAACAATGATCGGTATCCCCCAGTGTATCAGCAACTAGTATATTTACTTAGACCTTAAAATAAACACAGTGAGGCAAGAAATAGCCCAGTACAGTACTAACTATCAGTCAAGGCTTGCTATACATGTAAATGAACTGGCTAAAACACTTAGTGCAGGGGGTGGTATACAACATGCCCGTTTGAAACGACATGACATTCCGACTCTGATCGAAAGATTTACCAGCCAAAAAGAGAGTTCGTAGTAAAGGAATTTTACTACTAGACTTGGCTCTCGTGGAAGTTTAAAATGCCCAGATCTAGGATCAGCCAAAGAAATGGCTTATTGTTATAGAACAGATTGCCATTTAGCAGAGAACCACAAAAAAAATCTAATAAATAAAAAAACTAAAGATGAGGCTGTATGGGCATTGATCCTTTTGCCTTCCCTGAAAAGGGAGAACTACAAAAAAAATAAAAAAATAGGCCGTGCTCAGGGGCGTATATTAAAATCTGGCATTTACGATACCCTAATGGATAAAGCCGACTTTGTTCGTACGTACTAATAACAATATTTTTGGATCCAGTGTATTGTCTAACGTGTCGTCTGCAGTACTAATGTCCAGCGCGATCGAATGTAATCAAGCCGAGTTGCCTAGTCACTGTTACATTGGAATTACGAAAAACAAAGCAATGCCACCACACCACAAAGCCCCCATAATGGGCGGGCGTGATTAATTCTCACCGCTAAATGACTTTGTCATTATGAACCTCAAGACAAGATGGAAACTGCTTAGTGCATTTTTTTGTTACTACTTTTATTAGTCTACAGCCGCACACAGAGAATTTAATTAACTTTTGAGTTTGACTAAAGTGGACACTATCATTTTCTTGGCGATAACAATAGAATGACACATCACTCATGACTTGACATGACTAAATTAATTTGACTTTGCAAAGTACGCTTGTAATTAAAAGTTTGTAAAATGATACATATTAGGTTTATATCCCCACCTAACCTACCTTTTTATTTGTACCTAAGTATCTAGATACTGCTAGATAGCTGGACCCTCACATAACCACTAAGAGAAAAGCTTGCCGTAACCGTAAAAAAATTAATCGTAGGATTTATGATATAAGACAAAAAACTAAAGTCACTGACATACTAATAGTAGGGGAGCCCAAGCAGGTACTTTTGGATTTACGGCAGAATAACATATGGAGAACAACCTTGCACGTAGTTAAGTACTCCCACTATACCTGAGCCATCTATGTAGGGCCGAACGTCTAGGGCAGCAAAAACAAAATTTCAACAAACGGCCATGACTTTTAGTCGGGTCCAAATCGTCAGTCTTTTGAATAGGAGTCACAGAATGGTACCAAAGACAAGGCAAACAAAATCGAAGAAGACAGCGTACAAGGTGGGAGGATGAGTTAAAATTGACAGCTGGACCAAACTGGAGAAGAGCTACTCAAGACAGACAACAATTGAAATCTTTGGAGGAGGCCTTTGTCAAAAGGCCGACACCGAGCTAAGAAGAGACATTATGTAATTCTGAAATTTTACTCAGTTCGGAATAAAGGCCTTATTGGTATTAGGTACTTAACTAGAGGCCCACGCACGAAGTTTGAGAGGTTCGTAATCGTATCGTCAAAGTTGCTATGAAAACTACGCTGGCTCCGCCCATACAAAATTTGACGAAGACGATACAATTACGGATACCTATGTCAAAGTTCATGCTTGGGCCTCTGGCAGCGGTTTAAATGTCGACAGCGCTTTAAAGAGCACCTCATAAGCTGCACCCGTTCTGGTTATGATGATGTATTATAAATTATATACATCCATTATATTACTTTCATTTGTAAGAGCAAGGTCACTGATGTTATAGACCGCGTAACTATGGCGGGTCATGTGGCACGAAAGACTGATTCATGGAGCAAGCGGCTCCTTGAGTGGCGACCTTGGGGTCAAAAACGTCCTCTAGGAAGACCTCAGATACGTTGGGACGTTGACCTTAAAAGAACAGCAGTGAAAAATCGGCATCCGGACGCACTAAATCGTGACAGGTGACGTAATTTGAAGGAGGCCTACACCCAAAGGGTTGATACAGGCCGAAAGAGAGAGATATATATATATAGGTACTTTTCTAGCTGATCCAGCGAAATTCGTACAGCCGTAAATTAAATAATGGAATAAATGAGAATTGAAAAGAAAGAATTGTGTAGGTCTTATAGCATATATTTTTGGTTCATTGCTGCACGCTTGGTACCCCTGTCAAGACAACAAGACGAGCCAAACCACATATTTTGACTAAGGTGTTGATTTTGTTAAGTAAGGGCGTGAAGAGTTGGAAGTTTGGCTCTAAATGAGATCAACTTTTTGACAGCGCGAGTCATGTACTCGTCCTGGCAACATTTTACATGAAAATTTTTTCGCCTGGTAACTATTACTACCACCAAAACCTACTAAATGCAATTTCTAATTCGCCGATCATTTACAAACACAGTAATTCACTTAGCACTGATATTATGGGCATTTATAAAGCTGTCCTCAAGCATCCTACTCCATTTTCACTGATGTTGAAATAAACCAATTTTTCATCGGAAATCAAATTTAGATGATGCTCGAGGCAAATGGGGCTCCTGATCTCATTACGTTTATGTCTTTATCAAAGTGTCTACTTTGAGTTTCTTTTTTGAGGGTACTGAAATGATCTTTATTGGATGCTAAAATATTTCGTCCGAGATCTGACATGATTTGATTACGCCTATTTTTACAAGTAAATCTATACTTAACATTTTATTAAGGTCGTCCGGTCTTATTATTACCTATATAGGAACAAAACACAAGGCCTTCACTGTTATTTGTTTTATTTCCTTTTACAAAAGTCGGCTACCCCTCTTGTATTTGGGTAACAGTCCCTTCTTATGGTCCTTTCTTATATATATCACTCACGCCACCCTAAGCAGTTTGGTGAGTGGCTACCTTTCATTTAACACCACCATTTTCAAATACCCACACACATAATCTTTACGATAGGTCCCCCAGTATCCCTTGCACTTGTGACCTGTAATATAATAAACTTAGGCTGTGCCCGATGTCCAAATTTGAATATAGTTTAAGAACACTGCTGATAAATCTTCATGTCGGTCATCTATCATAATGGGAGCTATCAAAACTGATACCGCAATCCCATTTGTCAATATTTCTGCATGTATATCCATCCAAATTGATTATGATTGATAAATTAAATATGTAGTAACTGTGTTTTCTTTCTGTCTGTTACGTACGCTTTCACATCTACTGACCGCCGAACATGATGGATAAGTGGTTCAGGATCTTGAAGATGGACTGCTACTTTTTTTTACGAAAATAAAACTTAAACCGCCTCATTGCAAAACGCGGACTAAAGTTAGTCCTAGTTTAAACTTATTGTTGTCTCTGTCTTGTTTTTAGCAAAAAAAAGTGACGGCACCAGTTTTAAACCAGGTTTAACTTCAGTTAATGTTTTATAATAAGGCAGAAAGACTGACTTCCCCATTTAGAAACGAGGAATAATCTTAGACTAGTAACGCCGTGTTTTGTTCATATCACTCAAGTGCCATTTGTCATACAATGAACAGTGACTAAAATATTGAGTAACTATACCAAGATTATTCAACATACGGGTACGTATGTATAAGTGAGTATGGGCAACCAATTTACGTAATCATTTTAGGTGGAAGAAGTTCTAGGCATCTACAAGTGAACAAACAGGACTTACCGCACATTCCGGCTCGGTGATGTAAGACCCGTTGGCGAAGTACTTCCTCGGGCACTCAGACCACGGCAGCTCGGCTTGAAAACTCTGCGCGAAGTAGAAGAGACACCACGCAATGATGGAGTTGTAGTACAACGCCACGTTAAACGATACGACCGCCGAGCTGATCCCGATCCCGCCCAAGTAAGGCGACACCTGGTGCCAGACGCCAATGGCGCCCTTCCTCAACCGCTGCCCGATCGCCAACTCCAAATAAAATATCGGTATCCCCTCTATAGCCAACATCACGAAGTACGGTATCAGAAAAGCGCCCCCGCCATTCTTTTGTGCCAGGTAAGGAAACCTCCACACGTTTCCCAATCCCACTGCATACCCCACAGTGGCAAGTAAAAATGTCAACTTGCTGTCCCAGGACTCCCTCTCCAGCTCCCCACCTTCCGGCTTCGCGATTCCTCTGTCTTCGACGGAACTCGCTTTACTTGTTGGTGTCTCGGAAGACCGCCTGTTTGGGCTAGTGTCTTCGAACGCCTCATTGGTCGCGCCGTACATTACGTGCGTACGGTGGGAGGGATGACCGTTTTCCATTGTGACCAGGCGCCCTCGGAGCTCCTTCATCTCCATGCGGTCAATAGAACGCTGGGCATACAGATCCCTCGAGCTCTGCCGCCTCATCAAATGAGCTGTATTCGCCATTTTTATTACCTTTTTCAAACTATTTTTACAGCTTAATTTAATTCTACCCTAACAAATATTATTGTCGTAAAATTATTATCATTTTATTATCTCACGTCTCAGTGAATAAAATTATTATCGAGCCGCGTGCTTTTTTAAAGCGACTCATTTTCTGTATCGTGGCACATGATGAGGACCATTAAAAAGCCCATCAATGTTATGGTGCCTTCTATTATGTCAGACCTCGATATTGATACCGTGTATATTGATTTGGGTGTCAACATTTTTTCACCGATCACTTCACTTGCGATTCACATCACTTTGATTTTTAGTCAAACTTTATTAGACTGGGTTATGATAGCATTTTTTTATTTATTAAATTTCATGAGATTTATTGGCCCAATGGCGGCGGTCCTGCGTACAGGATGGCACTGGCGGGAAACTCGGGAATATTGGAGGGAGGGGCACGCATGCGTCAGGGAACCGCCTGTGCTGTGCTGAATAGGTACGGTACGGGACACCCACACTGTAAAGAACGGATTAAATTCCTTTGGTTCCTTGCAATTGCACCATTATTCATAAATTCTACATTAACAGTACCTCTCTAGTGTCGTCAATTAGCTGTAGGTACTATGGAAATATGTCTGTGTAACTTTAACTACGTACATACATTCACAGTTTAAGTCGCAGTTACAATCATTCATTGACCTGTCTACTTTAATTATGGTTGTATAAGTTGCAAGCAATTTGTATGAATGCGCGTTTTACAAACGGCATCGTCCGTTTAAAAACGCTCGCTGTTTGAAAATACGACGAAGGCAAAATTTAAATTGCCTTGTCTCTTTATAATATGCCACAACATTTGATAGACAATTCAATCGACGTTTACAAAATGCCGCGGCAAATTGAATTATTTAGTTATTATTCTTACCACGCGTGTCGCTGCTAATCAAAACAAGAAAAATGGCGGCGTGTAGTGGTTTTTTGACACAGAAAAATATTAAAAACATTGCAAATTCTACGTGTTCAAAGGACTTTTCACAAAAAAAGTATTGTTTTAAAGAAATTTACTATAGTGAATTAAGAAAATTTTACGATTTAATATTTAAGGAGCAGCCATGGACTAATGACAAAGTTTTTCAGGTTATTATGCACGTAAAAAAAACGCTTAGGTGTCCATGGAATCTGGTGCTCTTAGGACTCCTGCGGAATATTATTGGTATTAAAGTATGATGTGTAAAAGTATTAAAGTATAATACTCATGTATTGGTAATGTGGACCATTTTATTCTGAAAAAAGACAGCCCTGAGCGTGAAAGTGTAATATTATTCATAAAAGATTCATTATTGTGTCGTACGTCATCGGTTTAAATTAGTTTTGTGTTGTTATTGCTACTTAATTATTTGATTAGGAGTGCTTAAGCGTGCATTTAAGTTAGTCCTATATGTACCTGTACAACTATTACAATCAATGTCGAAATATTTACAATTGAACAAGTCATTTCAAAACAGCGAGCGTTTTTAAACGGACGACGCCCGTTTGTAAAACGCGGAATAATACAAATTGCCTGCGACATATGAATTATTTATGTTTTAAACTCGGAACCACTTGTACCTTTTGTTATTTTAATATACAGATTGATGAAAACGCAGATTGGGTAAAAAAGGAAAAATTCAGTTCCAGTAAATATACCAAAAAATGAAATTCCTGTTCGAATGATGAGAAGAGGGTAGAGGGTTTCCGACCTGCGTCTTGCTATTATCAAAATTTCAACCCTTCGCGAAACTGTATTTTAAAAGATGCTGGTCCAGTACCTACTTAACACTTGCACACTCAGAAAAGCTCTGTATTTTTATGTATACTTGCACAAAGATCAAAAATAAAATTTTTCGTGGTGGTCTCGTATACATGAAAGTAGATATTTTTTCTTTCTCCTTTGTCCCCAGCTCAAGACACTTCACGGGCGGGCAAAATATATTTATAATTGGTTTCTATTTTTAATGACAAAGAATTTCCGTCGATATTATAATTTTTATTTTTTAAGTCCATTTTTGTTACGGGGTCCATCTCAAAATCGAAATTATTTATGAAAGTGCAATTTTGGTAGAATGATGATACAGGAAACGCCGATTCCAAACATAGGCAAATGATTTTACGGAACCCTAATAGAGCGAAGCCAGACTCGCGCTTGTTTACATAATCATGTGTATTCTTGATATATCATATAGCAGCATTAATCCTTCTAAATGTAGTGTTGTCACATATAGTCGGAGGCGAAATATGGTATTGTTTTACTACAAACTAAAACAATGGCAATTAAAACTTGAAATAGCTGTGAGAGACCTTGTTGTATTTCACGATTCGAAGCTTCTCTTCGATACGCATAATAATAAGGTGATCGCGAAAAGCTCTAAGGCCCTCGGGTTTATTATGCGCAACTCCAAAGACTTTAGTCAGGCCAAGACACTCAAAATTTTATATTGTACCTTTGTTAGAAGTCATGTGGAGTATGCATCTCAGGTCTGGAGCCCTAGATATTCCACCTATATATCTCGCATTGAAGGCATCCAGAGGAAATTTGTACGATATCTGTGCTTTCATACAAAGGAACGTTGTCATTCAGGTCGGTACGGGGAACTCTGCAAAAAGCATCATCTTCTCCCTTTAGTTTTCCTCAGTAGGATCGCTTCTGGGGCTGTTGACTACCCGGAACTCCTATCAAAGATCTTGTTTGGAGTTCCCCCCAAACCCCTTAGGATTAATCCTATTTTAAGTATCCCTCCCTACTTCTACAGATTATCGGCAGAAAGCTTTTCTTTGTCGAGGGAGTAGCAGCTTCAACTCACTATGAAAGCAGGTAAATTTAGATCTTTTTATCACTAGTGAAGCGTCGATTAGACGTATCATTAATATAATAATAATAATGACAATAACAAACATTTATTCCAGTATTTTGTCCATGTGCGTAATTTGTTATTGAAGTTATACTTCTTTAGGCGCGTTGTGAATAAATGATGAGAGTGAAATTTTAAGATGCGCGCGCATCACTGTAACACAATTTTTTAACATAATGAAGTTGGTCGCTTTAGCGACCAACTTCATGCGTTACTTTTGTGTTTACCGCACATTAAGAAAATCTACCAACAAAATAGAAATAGAATCTCTATTTAGTGGGTGCTAACGACTGCATTGTGAAGGCCTATCAAAAGTATTTATTAATCTGGAACAACGGAACCAAAGCGCGATTCAGGAGACTACAGCGCCATCTCTTGACCATTGGTGTAGTAGAACCAAAAACCACATCTTTATTTTTTGTTATAAAGTAACAGTTATAGGTATTCATATTTATAATATTTATCCACATGTTTCTAGTTTGTATATTCGGAATACGTGTTTGAGTTTCATACAAGTGCAAATCACATATGTTCTAATAAATTATATTCAGTAGCGATTTTAATTGAATATTTTGATTATTTATTTATTTTTTCAAATTAAAACTGAACTTTATTGACTGTGTCCTTTTCCAGACTTTTTATTAATTTATTGTAATTAATCATTTGCATGCAATTAAAAACTAATTTTAAACGATGCCAAAGAAGGATAACTTCTCACGCGCCTACATAAGTACACGCACCCATTTTTTATCATAAGGATCTCATTTATAAAACTATATTTGACAGATTTTTTACATTGGACAGTGCAAATAGTTTCTTTATAATTTTAAGGTATGTCTAGATGTGAGGACCTGTAATTGGCTCTTTGTCGCTACTATTTATTTCTAGTATATTAAGATAAGTTGTTGGTCTTCCATGTAACCAAAATAAATATACAGCGAACGGAAGTCTTAAGATTATACCTTATAGGCTTCATATAGTGCGCGTTCCAATGGACATTGATTAACTGTGACCTAACAAAATTGAGGTCAGAATTAATATGTTCTCCTGAATAGTTGTTACATATCAATGCAATTACGTCGAAGCAATCATAAAAGATCTTAGAAAATCTAGTATTATGATCTCTTAAGACTTCTGCCAATGCGTATTTGAAAATGTATTTTTAAATACTTGGTGCTTCTTCTTCATAAATTGTCTATTCTCATTATCTCAAATAATGAGAATTTGAGATTAGCCTATGTATCGCTCTTTAGCATGTTAATACTTCAAGATAATAATAATTATTCACTCTGCCAAAGCTCCACGATTTAGGTACGGGATAGAGGTCAAAAGGGTTGTTAAAATCCCTGTAAGCCCAACTTTATTGGGACCTTTTCAAATTTGCATATATTAAACGAATTAACAGTCCTAATAAAAATAAAATATTTTATTACTTACATTTATTAGTATAATGTCATGGTAGTTTAACGCAATGGAGCGATACCCTATCGCAAGGGTTACACACTATTATGCTATGATGGCCGCGAAACATCTTTGCTTTTGGCGTTCGTCAGATCTACATGCAGAACCTATTCTGTGGCTGAAGTGCTAAACCCAATAGGTAGCCAGTCAAATGCCTGATGCATATGTGGTCTGTGTGTGTGGCTGAATCTCGATTACGCACGTGGTGAGTTCGATTCGTTAATTGTTGAAGTTAATCAACTTTTGCAATGGTGTCATTGGATGGGTGACTCAAAATTTTCATATTTTGATCTCCTCCGTGCTTAAAGAAGAGAAAGAGAAAATGAAGATTTCTTTCTTTCTTCCGTGCTTCGAAAGGCACGTTAAACCGTTAGTCCCGGCTGCATCTGCAGTCGTTAGCACCCACCAATCCGCACTGGGCCCGCTTGGTGGGTCATGCATGGTCCAATCTCCCTATTCTCCATAGGGAGGCCTGAGCCCTAGCAGTGGGGAAATAGAGTGATGATGATATCTCGAGAAATCTGCACGAGAAGATTAACAACTGGCGGATTAAAAATAAGAATATGTTTTATTCTTTAGATTATTCTTTCATTCCACATTATTTAACTTAATACATAGGTACCTAATTCGAAAGGAATACCGAGAAAATAAAAAAAATGAGAATACTTGGCTGTATGATGCCAAATAATTAAGTATCTACTTT